AGCGGGGGCGGAGGAGGGGGTTGGCGGTTCAGGCTGATGCCCTCCAGGATGGCCTGTCTCATCTTCTCCACACGGGACACCTGCTCCTCCTGTGGACAGAGGGAGTTCACCTGTTACACCTGTCTGACAGGCTTCTTTAACCCTCTTTAACCTGTCCAACTGGGTTACCTGTCCAGCACTCTCTCTCACCTGTCCAGCACAGATCCCCTTTCTCTAACCCTCTCTCCCACACCTATCTAGCAAGGATCTCCTCACACATGTCCAGGAGGGCTCCCCTCTCTCTCACCTGCCCCTCACACCTGTCCAGGAGGGCTCCTCTCTCTCACCTGCCCCTCACACCTGTCCAGGAGTGCTCCTCTCTCTCACCTGCCCCTCACACCTGTCCAGAAGTGCTCCTCTCTCTCACCTGCCCCTCACACCTGTCCAGGAGTGCTCCCCTCTCTCTCACCTGCCCCTCACACCTGTCCAGGAGTGCTCCCCTCTCTCACCTGCCCCTCACACCTGTCCAGGAGTGTTCCCCTCTCTCACCTGCCCCTCACACCTGTCCAGGAGTGTTCCCCTCTCTCACCTGCCCCTCACACATGTCCAGGAGGGCTCCTCTCTCCCTGGTTGCCCGGGCCAGCTTGCTCTGGAAGAGCTTGCCATCGAAGTAGCCCCAGGGGCAGCAGTGGTCCCAGGGGATGGGCTGTCCGCAGGCGTCATTCACAAACAGCGCCGTGTCCACCCCACACATGAACAGAGCAGCCAGCTGGATGCCGCGGGAGTCCAGCTTGTCCACCTGAGGAAGACGGACAGTTGGTACTCAGTGCCGTGGGCTCACCACAGAGCTAGCAAGCGAGAGGCATGGGCGAGGAGGAGAGTCTTTCCTCCCTGACCTTGAGCTCCTGCAGCTGGTCGGGCTCGTACAGCTGACTGGACACAGACTGGGCCAGGAAGGCGTCCAGCTCGTGGCGCTGCAGAATGCGGCCGCCCGGCCACTGCATCATATACCTGCACACAGACACGCAGCCGGCTCAGACAGCAATCCACCTGTCCCTGCTCTATCTCCTGTCTGAAACGCCCCCCTC